TTTACCTGAGCTGTGAGATATAAGGCAGACACTGCAGGAAACTCCTCACTTCACTCTCTTCATGTGAGCAGCCTGTCAGCTCCACTTGTTTCTTCACTGGTTGGAGTTTCAGCACTTCCAGGAGGATGGAGGTCTTTCTCTCTGAGAGGTTTATGGACCAGACTGCAGGAGCTGACTGGAAAACTGACTGTAATGATGGAAGGACACTCAAGCCTGTTTTAATCTCATAGTCCTTCACATGGGAGAACAGATCAAAAAGGAAATCACACCATATCTCTGTCAGAGGGAATGTTTTGTATCTGCACACTGATGATAACAGCTCCAGTATCTTCTCTCCTGTCTGCTGTTCTCGCTCTGCTGCTGCACAGAACAGATTCCCAAAGAACCTGGTTTCTTCTGAAGGCTCTGACAATTGAGGTATGACACTGAAATCATGAGTAAAAAAATGTGACATAGTTTTTAACTAAAAAGAAATACAGTTTTTGAACAGAAAAAGTGATTCTATTACAAATTAATGTACATGCAAGATTAATTTCATATGCCATTATTGATGACTGTTGGCAGAGCGCCGCCAACAGGGGCCCAGTGGGGGCACTGGCCAACTCCCAGATTTTCAATGTGCTACCAGAACTTTTTCTGAAATTTTACACATTTATTTCTTACAATATGTCCACAAAGTCCTACTAACAGATTTCTTTCTTTGTCACAGCAACTTATTATTTATCATATAGAAACACAGTTTAACACATACCGTGTTTTCCGCACTATAAGGCGTGCACCTTATGTATGAATTCTGGTTGTGCTTACTGGCCTCGAATAGATTTTATGTGGTACGCGACGCTCAAAAATCTGTCAAGAAATGTTTTAGTATGACTTTGCTAAGCTACAAAGCCGCACTGCTTGATGGATTGTCAGAGTATTACGGCTAATGTAGTCAGGCGCCTCCCGGAGTAATCTGGGTCCAAAACTCTGTCCTTTCAGGTCCCAAAGTCAAACGAACACTGCAGCATCACTAAGAGTTAAAAACTGTCTAAATTCTTTCATCTTTAATAAAATGATCAGCGTTGCTGCTTTACCAGGTGCAACAATTAAGTTTAACATCCAAGCATCCGTGAAAACAGAATTTATTAAATTTAACTGTGTTAGAAGTTAGCAGGGAGTTAGCAGGGAGTTAGCTCACTAGCTTCCACCTAAACACGATATAGCATGTTCTGAGTGAAAGATTTCTGAAAAAGTTAAAACGTACAGCTCTGCTATCACTTCCAACACAAATGAAGACACAAAACTAAATAGCAGTGACTTTTGTAGGGTCACTGAATTTGGACTAGCTAGTATATAATGATGTGCTACGTGATTGCTAGCGACACAGCTATGTTAGCATAACATAAACACAGTGAAGCTGGTGGATGAATGCTAACTTTTTTCCACTCAAAGGGAAGGCTTCCCGATGGTTTGGGACAAATGCAATCGTATGGCAGGATGTTTTAAACGGACCAAACGTCAGTCAGGAGAACAACTGAGATAATCCATCCACAATACGAGGTTAGTCATTAATATACTGCAACAACATGGGAATAGAGCAGCTGCGAGAGAATTCAGCATTAATGAATCAATGGTAC